CTTTAAGACCAACAAAGTTTTATTCGAGGTATGAGCTTTGCCGTTTCATATGGAAGGACACTGGTGTGTGTGTGGGGGGAGTCAAGAACTTCAAGAAGCAATATGACTGCGATTTGTTGGAGAAGACAAACTGGTAAAAGGGTGAGGGAAAGGATATCCAACCCCCCGTTTTCCTACTCAATGCTCCAATTTTCAGGCGGTAATAAAAATTAAGGAGCTGCGGTGGCTCAAGTGGTTAAGACGCTGAACTGCAGGCTGCGGAAGGTCGGTAGTTCAGCAGTTCGAGACCCGGTTTGCCGCATGACGGAGTGAGCTCCCGTCTCTAGTTCCAGCTCCTGCCAACCTAGCAGTTTGAAAGCAAGAAATTGCAAGTAGATAAATAGGGACCCCTTCGGTGGGAAGGTGACATCGTTCCGTGCGCCTTGGTGTTCAGTCATGCCGGCCACATGACCACGGAAACGTCTTCGGACAGCGCTGGCTCTTCGGCTTTGAAACGGAGATGAGCACCGCAACCCTAGAGTCGGATTCGACTGGCTTTCGAGCAAGGGAACCTTTACCTTTAATAAAAATCACCCTTACTTCCACTTGATCTTGAGCACCATTAAATAGTCAGAGGCACTCTCCTATTTCAACATTTTTGGCTGTAGAGTGTGTGTGTGTGTGTGTGGGGGGGAAACTAAAGAAATAAATATGAGGCATTGGCATTTTGTCGTGGGTGAGTGCCAGTTGCCGTTCTTTGCTGAGTCAATTTTAAATTTCTTTCTGGGACCATTAATGTTTGGATCCGAAAAGCTACCGGTGGGATTCTACTCTGGCACACCTTTTCCATCTCCCCCATCCCACTATAGACTTCTGTGTTCCCTGAAATCCTAATCCTAGGGCCTGGGGGATGCTCAGTAGTGTGGTGATGTGATGGAAGAGCCTGCAAAAGGAGAAGGGGATCAAGAAACCCCCCCCCCAAATGCCGTTTTGCTGTCACAATTCACTGTCCTCTGATCTCGTCAGACCATGCTCATTATGCATTATTCCCAGAGGTCATTTGGGGGGGGATCGCAGTTCCCCCGGGTGAGGTGTGGGGGGCGGGGCACACAACAAAGCCCCACCTCCTGCTTCCGGCCGCCCCGCTTCCGGCCGTCATTCAGCCGGGAGGAGGCAGGAGAAGAGGGAGGGTAAGTTGCTTCCTCCCCGCCTCTCCCCACCCCTGCCTGCCTGGGGCCAGGGAGGGCCTTCGCGGGGCTTCCTCGCACTCCCGCCAGCCTTGCAGGTCCACCGCCGGGCCTTATGATGTCAGGGGGGGTGGCATATGCTAATGAGTTATGCTAATGAGTTCCCCTAGCTCTTTTTCTACGAAACGACCCCTGATTATTTCTCTACGCTGCCTCTCTTCACCTGTATACTAAACCATCTCTTTCCGGTCCACCTCTATTTTCCAAAACACTAGCTGACACCTGTGAACAAACTTATACCCAAAAGCAAGAAATTGCAAGTAGATAAATAGGTACCACTTCAATGGGAAGGTAACAGCGTTCCGTGCGGCTTGGTGTTTAGTCATGCCAGCCACATGACCACGGAAATGTCTTTGGACAGCACTGGCTCTTCGGCTTTGAAACGGAGATGAGCACCGCAACCCTAGAGTCGGATTCGACTGGCTTTCGAGCAAGGGGACCTTTACCTTTACTTTAACCATGGGAAGGTCACTGTGTTTTATGTCACTTTATACGAGATCCTCGTAATTATATATTTTCTGTCTGGAATTCGATCTCAGTACTGTCTGCAATACCAGCTGCCACTGGCACCCACCCACGACAAAATTCTTATTCCACAAAAGATGTTCAATAGATGGAAAGGCCTGCTTTTAATGGCCAGGACCCCAAAGAGTAAAATTAGATGAAATGCCACAGTGCTGATCTGGATTCACCTTAACACATCAAAATGGTCCTACATATTAACACCCCCCTCCCCAAAAAAAGCCCACCACACTCTCTTTCTCATATCAGTTCAGACAGGTAATAACTGCAGGAAACACCAGATTTTTTTTTTTTTTTAAATGGATAATTAGAATGGCCTATGGATTCTGGTCGGTTGTTTTGCACGGTTCGCATCAGCATCCCTGGCATAGCTAATGAGCGACCTCTTGTGTTGAAAAGTCTTAAGGATGACGTTTTGAAAAACGGATTCAGGTGGGTAGCTGTGTTGGTCTGAAGCAACAGAACAAAGTTTGAGTCCAGTGGCACCTTTAAGACCAACAAAATTTAATTCTGGATATAAGCTTCCGTGTGCGTGCACGCTTCTTAGATGTATATGAAGAAGTGTGCATGCACACTAAAGCTTATACCCAGAATTAAACTTTGTTGGTCTTAAAGGTGCCACTGGACTCAAACTTTGTTCTATTTTGAAAAACAGAATGTTTTAGGATAAACAGAGCTAGAATGAGGACCTCTAAGTCTCTAAATTAAAATACATTGGGGGTTTATTTAGATTAGGGTTGCCATATTTTGAAAAGCAAAAATGAGGACGTATTTCTTGACCGACTACTTCAAACAAGTGATGACTATGTCAAGACTCATTTTAAATACCCCTACTATTTAAGCTGTGATAACTGCTATTAACTAGGAATACTCCTAACCTTCCAACCCCAGAAGAGGACATTTTAATCAGTTTTTTAAAAAGAGCCCAAAAGAGGATGGACGCCAAAAAAAGAACACATGTCCTCTTGAAAGAGGACATCTGGTAAGTGTTCCCTCTAAGCTGTGGAGTCTTGTGAGCAAAAATTCTACTTTGTGAGCTACCGGCATTAAAGTTGTGAGCGAGTGATTCAGCTACTGCATAAATTAGTTTGCTCTGGAGCCATCCTTCCTGAGCTAAGACAAAAATGTGTGAGCTGGAGGCTAAAAAACTGTCAGCTAGCTCACACTAACTCAGCTTAGAGGGAACACAACCCTATTTAGATGCAACCACTATTTTTGCTGGTCTGTCCACGAAAATATTCCCACATCTTCATCCCCCTTCGACTTTGCTGAAATCACAGTTCAAACCTACTTCTGAACACTCTTTTTAATACATTTCTCTTTTTTGGCCTTCCCAGGAAATATAAGATGTGGGCAACATATACCTTGATCTAGCTTTGATTTCTGAGCAAGATGAGATTCTACAGATTTTGTATCTCCCATGTAAGCCAGGGGTGTCAAATATGCGGCCCAGGGGCCAGATCAGGCCCCCGGAGGGCTTCCATTAGGCCCACAGTGGAACTGGACATCTCCTGCTCCCAGTTCTGCTGCTGCTCTTGCATCCTAGCCTGGTTCGCCAGACTCTCTTAATCACTCAGCCATTTCACGTTTTAACCTGGGTCCTAGACTCAGAACTCTTGAGCATGAGATTTCTCTGGTGAATGTCAATAAATCAAAAGTAGGTTTGCATCTTACAGAGCTAATGTTTTAAGCATGTTTTTATTTGAATTAAAAATATCTCTGTGTTTGTGTGTCCTCTATAAAGTTTATATCTCTGCTACCTGGCATTACATTTTATGACACACACGGCCTGGCCCAACAAGGTCTCATTTATGGCAGATCCGGCCGTCATAACAAATGAGTTCGACACCCCTGAATTGTAAACCATAACTGTGGTGGTGGAAAGTGCCGTCAAGTCACAACTGACTTACGGTGCCCCTGTAGGGTTTTCAGGGCAAGAAACGATCAAGGGTGACTGTACTGTATTCAATATTTATAGTTTAGAAAAGTTTAACACTGAAAACAGTGACTGAGATGGGAGCTAGAAACATTTCCCTCAAACATTCTGATTATTTACCTATTTCCAACCCTTCAGAGGCTGCTGCTGCACCATTTTCTCCCCCCCCCCGGTTCCTTGCCGTTTCCCCCTTTTTGGATTAGTTGCATGGGCAACCCCACAAAGGCTGAGAGAATGAGCAAAAATTAAACTGACAAGCTATCGTTTCTGCAAATCATGCCATTTTCTCCGGGGGGGACTGATCTCTGTAGGATGGAGATCAACTGTAAAAGTGGAGAGTTCCAGGCCCCACCTGGAGGTTGGCAACCCTACTTCCACCTCCAGTGGAGTCGTTCCGAGCCCATTTGGTCTCTCCCTCCCCTCCCCCAAGAAGCTGTTCCCCATGGCTGCTGTGTAAAGGCTAGGAGTTGTGTCTTTTCTCAAGTGACTTGTCTGTCTCCCTCAGACTGACACACAAACACACTCCTCCTGACTGGCAACTGCCAAGTCCAAACCCAAACGAGGACTGACTGACTGACTCTCTGACAAGACTCACAAGGTCTTATAAACCTCTCCTCAGCTGGCACTGACCAATCAGAGAGAAGGAAGGGTGCAAGCAGGCAGCGGCCTGTCACTCAAGCTACTTTTCAGTGAGGCATTAACCCCTCATCTTCCAGCTCTGTGAGTTTGATGGACATAGGAACATAAAAGAAGCCAATGCTGGATAAGGCCAGTGGCCCATCCAGTCCAACACTCTGTGTCACACAGTGGCCAAAAATACCAGGGGCCATCAGGTCCAGCAGTGGGGCCAGGACACTAGAAGCCTCCCCCACTGTTGACCACCACCCCCCAGGCACCCAGAACATCACTTGCCCCAGACCAAGAGTTCCTATTCATACCTTGTGGCTAATAGCCACTGATGGACCTCTCCTTCATATGTTCATCCAATTCCCTCTTGAAGCCGTCCATGCTTGTAGCCGCCGCCACCACCTCCTGTGGCAGTGAATCCCATGTGTGAAGAAGTCCTTCCTTTGATCTGTTCTAACCCGACTGCTCAGCCAATTTCATCGAGTGCCCATGCACTAAGCATCCTGGTTTTTGAGGTCATTTCGTCACCGCCACCAATAAATCGCTCTTAAATGTCATCACAAGAAGCTATGCCAAATTCAAAGATGTGCAGAAACCTGGCACAGCCTAAATTTCTAGCCAATCTGGATTAAATGCCCACAATCAAAACAGTAAGGTAAGAAATTCTGAAGACCAGATAAATGGTTTACCTTATTATGTGTCAACGTTAACCTCAGTTCTGGCTTCACGATGCTGTAGGCCATCAGAAGATTTTGGATTTTCTTAATTTCTTCCTTGCGTTTTTTATCTGTCGAATAAAATTGCTTTCTCACAGGGTGATTCTTGAACAGCTTCAGAACTGTTACAGTCGTACCTGTGGAAATACGGCAGAGGCAACTTGAATTAAGCCATGGTTAACAAAGCGCTCTTGTTTTCATACCCTATTTTTCTCTCACTAGTACACCAATAGCTATCAGCGTGACCATAATATAGCTGAATACCTAAATCCGCAGATTGGGGCCACAAGGGAATTAGATAAGCATATGGAGCAGGAGCCATCAGTGGCTATTAGCCACAAGGTATAGATAGGGGCTCTGGGGCAAGTGATGCTCTGTCTTCTTGGTGCTTGGGGGGGGGGGTCAACAGTGGGAGGGCTTCTGATGTCCTGGCCCCACTGGTGGACCTCCTGATGGCACCTGGTATTTCTGGCCACTGTGTGACACAGAGTGTTGGACTGGATGGGCCTTTGGCCTGATCCAACATTGGCGTCTCTTATGTTCTTATGGAGCCTAAAAAGGTTTTCCTGCACATTTGAGAGACGCCCCAGGTGTGCAGAAAAATCTGACTTAAAAACAACAACAACAACAACAGTGGGGAAGGTTTTAAGATTTCCCCCACAAAATAAAAAAGCGTTCTCCGCATAAGCAGAGAACGCACGTACCTGTTGGGGCTTGGCAGGTCAGGAGCCATGCCGGGCCCAGTGTTGGTGGCTCAGCAACCTGGGAGCCACACCAAACCTGGTGGTGGTGTGGTTACCCGGGAGCCAAGCTGGGCCTAACAACAGAGGCCTGGCAGCCCAGGAGATGCATCAGATGTGGGGGAATGTGATATTGCCTAAGACCAAGTCAGAATAAGCTGGATCCAAAGATTCACAGAAGCAGTCTTTTGCTAACAGGAGGAATCCTTTCCTTAATTTTTATTCTGAATGTTTTACTATAAGGGATAGAGAAAGAAAGAGGAAATATAATGACTAGAAACACAACGTGAGGGAATTTTACAGATATTGAGGACAATCCTTTTTCAGAATATATATGTCTGTATAAAAATTGTATGGTATAATAGCTTAACAAATGTATAACACGATATCTATGGTGTAAAGGTAAAGGTAAAGGTTCCCTTGCTCGAAAGCCAGTCGAAGCCGACTCTAGGGTTGCGGTGCTCATCTCAGTTTCAAAGCCGAAGAGCCAGCGCTGTCCGAAGACGTTTCCGTGGTCGTGTGGCCGGCGTGACTAAACACCAAGGTGCACAGAACGCGGTTACCTTCCCACCGAAGTGGTACCTATTTATCTACTTGCAAGGTCTTGCTTTTGAACTGCTAGGTTAGCAGGAGCTGGAACTAGAGACGGGAGCTCACTCCGTCATGCGGCACACTCGGGTCTCGAACTGCTGAACTACCGACCTTCCACAGCCTGCAGTTTAGCGTCTTAACCACTTGAGCCACCGCAGCTTCCTTAAATATAGCTTTAAAAGATATGACATATTAACAAGAAGTCTGTATAATGACCAACTTGGTATATTCTACCGTCTTATTTTTCTGTGTTATCATTTTTATCTTATTGTATAAGTAAATAACCTCATAGAATTTTTTATAAGATTTCACACAACAGTTTGTTATAACAAACAAGCACTACACTTTTTAGTTCATATTACAACTGTCTTATAGTATTATCATATACTATTAAATCTTAGGGGGGATTCTAGTGGGAAGAGAAGATTCCTCCATTGACAGGATGATGGAGGAGGAGGAGGAGGAGATTGGATTTATACCCCGCCCTTCACTCAGAGTCTCAGAGCGGCTTACACTCTCCTTCCCCTTCCCCTTCCCACAGAAGATACCCTGTCAGGTAGGTGGGGCTGAGAGAGCAGTCTCGAGAACTGTCCTTGAGAGAACAGCTCTGACAGAACTATGGATGAGACCTTTGGATCCAACCACTGGAATATACATCTCTCCTTATATATAATTGAATAGTGGGTGCCATAGTTCTAATTCTAAAATGCACTCCCTTAGTGTATGGCTGATGGCACTGCTCCTCAGCATATATCGCCACCAATCAGAAGGCAAAGCCCGGGTCCCGCCCACACCACAACTGCTGCGACAACCTGGTCTTTTGCATATGGAAGCTGATTGGACTTCAGTCCATTCCACACCTCAAACTCCCCCCACCCCCGCAAGGCAGTTGGAATTTTCAGTTGCATAACATACCTCATAGGGGAGAGGAGAATGGTTAACAATGGTTACCACTCTCCAGGTGAGGGCTACAGATAACTCAAACATACAAATGCTCTTCAGGTAGCAGAGATCAGTCCCTCTGGAGAAAACAGTGGACTCTGTCATTAAACCCTGCTGAGGTCGCCACAGGAAATTGACACTGTTTGCCCAAAGCCAGAGCACTCTCCCAGAGCCTCTTTCTAGATCCCGTTGTATTTATTTCCGCAACGGGCATTATTTCTATCTTACAATAATACATGTTTTGCCAATCCCTAACTCATAACGGAGCCAACAAACACATTTCTGCCACACTCGTGACATTTCTGTGGCTATAACACTCACTTGAAAGCTAGAACTACAACTTTGAGAGGAAAAACATACACCACGATCAGTGTTCCCTCTAAGCTGAGTTAGTGTGAGCCAGCTTACAGTTTTTTAGCCTCCGGCTCACACATTTTTGTCTTAGCTCAGGAAGGATGGCTCCAGAGCAGACTAATCTATGCAGGAGCCAAATTGCTCACTCACAACTTTAATGCCGGTAGCTCACAAAGTAGAATATTTGCTCACAAGACTCCACAGCTTAGAGGGAACATTGACCACGATTACTGAAATTTTACTAAACTGAATAGGAGACATGATTCCACGCAGTAGCGGACTTGGTATTTTTCGTGAGTTAAATAAAGCGAACATCAAACTACGAGAGCTAGATTGGAGTCCAGTAGCACCTTAGAGACCAACAAGATTTTGGGGTATAAGTATCAAGTGTCAAAGTTCCCTTCATCAGAGCTTTGACTCTTGAAAGCTTACACCATGAAAATCTTGTTGGTCCCTCAGGTGCAACAACATTAGAAGAGCCCTGCTGGATCAGACCAGTGATCCATCTAGTCCAGCCTCCTGTCTCACACAGGGGCCAACCAGTTCCTCTGGAAGGCCAACAACAGGGCAAGAGGAGGCCGAGGCCTTCCTAAGAACAAGAGAAGAGCCCTGCTGGATCAGACCAGGGGTCCATCTAGTCCAGCCTCCTGTCTCACACAGGGGCCAAGCAGTTCCTCTGGAAGGCCAACAACAGGGCAAGGAGGCCGAGGCCTTCCTAAGAACAAGAGAAGAGCCCTGCTGGATCAGACCAGGGGTCCATCTAGTCCAGCCTCCTGTCTCACACAGGGGCCAAGCAGTTCCTCTGGAAGGCCAACAACAGGGCAAGGAGGCCGAGGCCTTCCTAAGAACAAGAGAAGAGCCCTGCTGGATCAGTGTAATTGCTGTAATATCAGGGTTACATGCTCCCGATTCATGGCTACCCTCTGAAACTGTCAAAACTAGAAGGAACTTCAGTGTCAAATATCCAAACACAATCAAATGTAATGGTAGTATTTAGGAGCCCAGAAGCACAAAAACGATTAAAGGTACAATTAGATACATTCATGGTTCGTTTTTTCAGAAGCCGAATTAATTTCTGTATCTTGATCTTTCATATCCTTTTTAAAGTAATGTGCGTAAGCCCACCCTTACTTCTCAAAAGCACCCAATAACTTATAGCCTGATCCTCTATCTGCTGAGGTGGTAAAAGAGGGTTGAAGGACACACAGCAGCCAACACACAACATCCCAAAACAGGATGTTCTACCGAGCCTGCAGGGGCTTTAACACAGGAGGGCAGATCCAACTGCACAAATGTTTGTGATCGGAGTGCTCAAATATTTACAAGCCAACTGAAAGGGCACTCTCATATTTAACAAGAAAATTCTTCGGATTTCACTGTTCCAATCTCTGTTTAGTCCAGGCTGCGCTCACCAGGATTAAATTCCGGTCTAATCATGTATTCTATGAAGGACATGCCATATCGGTTTAAAACCCCACCCATTTTAGCTGCGATATATAACGTTTCAGTTATGACTGAAACGTCAGGAGGTTTTCCTTGTGAAAAGATAACTTTAATAACGATCAGTTCTCAAATCAAAGGGATGAGCCAGCTAACGTCTACTGCTGAGATACGGAGGGGACCCACGCGAAACATGACCAATGAAAGCACTGAGAAAAAAGGGGGTTATTATGGAGGCATGTTTGGTCCAACTTACATAATAGCACCCTTGGTAGGTGCTTTCTAAAGCTTAGGAGACCTGGCCCATATAGAAACTGAATAAAGTTTGCCTGTTAAGAAATTGCAATGAGACTTCCTGTAGTGGCTTTTTGTTCCTGAGGAAGGACCAGAAGTACGAAACACTGAACAATACCTAGGAAAAGTGTTGATATCTATTCCAGACTTCATTGTTTCCCTTTGAGAAATTTCTATTCTGGACTTTGTTCTTTCCCTTTGGGATATTGTGGACTTTTGTATTTTCCTATGATGGATTACATGTGTTGAATTACCCTGTGTTGAAGCCTCTTTTGGTTAACTTTGGTGCGGGTTTGTGCAGTACACAGTTGTTCTTTGCTGTTTTTTTGGCCATTTTTACTGTGGACTGTATTATTGTTGTTGTTGTTTGTAAATTAAGCACAAGATTAAGAAAACAGTCTTATAAGGTCTCCGGGGAACATCGGCCATTTGAGGTAAGTGTCACTTAAACAGCAATTAGAAGCAAATAACAGAATAAAAATGCGTTTGGACCAGACGAAATGTAAGAAGTGGAAATATCTTTAATAGCCATACCTTGTCCGAGATGAGAGGGCTTTTGAGAAGTAACATGGCCGCTTCTATCCAAAGTGTATTGAGTGCTAAAGTCATCGGCAGCTGTCTTGGTCGTAATCAGAACCTAATAACAGAGGAAATCGGGCCAGAGATTCATCAGAATTTTGTGTGTGTGTGTAATCTATATTCTGTTTCCTACAGGCAGTCATGAGAGCTACAGTAACAACATTTATGCAGGGCTCTCTAGAACAAGGATTAGTGGTACATAGTAAATACAGAGTCAAGAAACTTTGGGATAAGGTCCACTAGCGTTCACTAGAAATCTGCAAAACCTGCTTGATACCAATCTGGACCAACAGCACGGCCGTCTTTGGATGGCCTGCCTTGGGTGCCCCCCTCTTCAGAGATTAGGTAGGCGGCAACTCGCAAGAGAGCCTTCTTAGTCGTGGCCCCAAAGCTCTTGTTAGTCTTTCCCCAGGGAGATTCATCCGTCTTCTTCTGTCGCCATCTTCCACCGACGGGTGAGGACCTTTTCCTTTCATTTGGCACTCCCTAAACAATCCCTCCTTCCTGACCAATGTTCTACTTGCTGTTTTTATGTCTTTGCATGTATTTTAACTCTGCCTTTGATTTGTTTTAATGATGTATGAGGGGTTTTTTGGGTGTGTGTGTGTGATTTTAATGGTTTTAAAATATGATTTTATTGTTTATGTTTTAATTCGTTAGCCGCCTTGGTGGCCCTCGTGAGGGCAGGAAGGTGGGATATAGTTTATTTTGTAAATAATAACATCTGGAATCTGTGTCAGCCAAGATTTCCGGAAGTCAGCCCTTCAGAGATGGGAGAATTTTCATGAACAGTATAGTACTGTGGACCCAGAACTGTTACTCCTTCTATTTTAGATTTAACCTATAGGGAAGAAATTACTTCAACCCAATAATAGAACAGTATGGCAACTGGAATTAGAAGCAATATTTTTAACTAGCACAGAAAACTGTTTTAAAACGGTCATGTAATGGTGTTTGCAGGGAAAATCATGAAGTCACACAAGTCAGACTTCAATTATGTACTTCACTTATACCTCCCCACCTTTCTCCCCACCAAAGAGGCTGACACCGTTGTTCGTTGTTTTCTCCTCACAACAACTGCATGAGGTAAATTTAGGCTGACAGTATGTTACTGAGCCAAGGTGAGTCAGCAAGCTTCCGGGATGGGGATTCGAACCTGAGTAGAATGTAGATGTTAGGCTACTTCCTTGACAAGTCAGCCAGTCTTTTCCGGTATGTTTTCTTCTGCAAACCAGGTAACAGCTTAAATGTGGACGGGCTGGTTTTTTCAGTTCTCTTGAGACCCCAGTTTGGTGTAGTGGTTAAGTGCACGGAGTGGAGGAGTGGGGAATCAAACCTGGTTCTCCCAGATTAGCGTCCGCGCACTTAACCAGTTTGGTGTAGTGGTTAAGTGCGCGGACTCTAATCTGGGAGAACCGGGTTTGATTCCCCACTCCTCCACTTGCACCTGCTGGATGATCTTGCGCAAGCTGTAGTTCTGTCAGAGCTGTCCTTGAAAAAGAGCAGTTTCTGTCAGAGCTCTCTCAGCCCCACCTACCTCACAGGGTGTCTGTTGTGGGGAGGGGAAGGGAAAGGGGTTTGTAAGCCGCTCTGAGTTTGTAAGGGCTTCTGGTGTCCTGGTGTGCTGGACCTCCTGACGGCACCTGGTATTTTTGGCCACTGTGTGTCACAAAGTGTTGGACTGGATGGGCCATAGGCCTGATTCAGCATTGGCTTCTCTTATGTTCTTATGTTCCATTTAATTGTATCTGAAGAAGTCTGCAGGCACACAAAAGCTTATTGTTGGTCTTAAAGGGGCCACTGGACTCAAACTCTGTTCTACAGTGGACCTAAGGTCAGACACACACTCTTTCGCAGTCCAAGCTAAATCGTAAGTCTGAGCTGAGGATAAAATGAAGGAGAGAATCATCTACGCCGGCTCAGGTTCCTTGGAGGAAAGTAGAATGAAATACAAGAGACAGTTTTAGGGCCCATACCCTTTTAAAGAAAAATTTAAAAAAATATTAATAACTGCCACTGTCTCAGTACAGCAGCCACAGAAAGTAAAGATATGTAAAGATGATTCTCTGTGTCAGGGGTCCCCCCAACCTTTTTGAGCCTGCGGATACCTTGGAACTGTGACACTGGACAGTGGGCACTGGTAGAACACGCTCCTGGAAGACCTCATGGGCCTGCAGGACCTTTTACGGTTCCGCAGGGCCTGCAAGACGGAACTCTTCCACTGCGCCTTTAGTTAAGGAGCCGCACCCGACACACTAAGGCCCTGTGTCCAATACCACCACCGACTGCCTGCGCTTCACCGATTCTAACATCAAATACCGACTACATTTACTAGAATGTTGACCAGTGTTCCCTCTCAGCTGAGTTAGTGTGAGCTAGCTGACAGTTTTTTAGCCTCCAGCTCACACATTTTTGTCTTAGCTCAGGAAGGATGCCTCCAGAGAAAACTAACTTATGCAGTAGCCAAAACACCTGCTCACGACTTTAAATGCCAGCAGCTCACAAAGTAGAATTTTTGCTCACAAGACTCCACAGTTTTGAGGGAGCACTGATGTTGACGTTACTCGGCTTTCGCCACCGCCATTTAAATTGTTTAAAGGTAAAGGTTCCCTTGCTCAAAAGCCAGTCGAGTCCAACTCTAGGGTTGCGGTGCTCATCTCCGTTTCAAAGTCGAAGAGCCAGCGCTGTCCGAAGACGTTTCCGTGGTCATGTGGCCGACATGACTGAACACCAAGGCGCACGGAACGCTGTTACCTTCCCACCGAAGTGGTACCTATTTAACTACTTGCAATTTCTTGCTTTCAGACTGCTAGGTTGGCAGGAGCTGGAACTAGAGACGGGAGCTCACTCCGTCATGCGGCACACTCGGGTCTCGAACTGCTGAACTACCGACCTTCCACAGCCTGCAGTTCAGCGTCTTAACCACTTGAGCCACCGCAGCTCCTAGCATGTGTTTCTTTTAATTTCATGGCTGCTGTCACAGTCTGCGGTGATCTGGGATCCCAAGAATGTGAAGTCTGTCACTACTTCCACGACTTCCGCTTCTATTTGCCAAGGAGTGATGGGGCCGGATGCCAAGATCTTAGTTTTTTTGATGTTGAGCTTCAAGCCCACTTTTGCGTGGCTGCGAGAGTTGCTATAAGGAAGGCCGAACGCCGAAGAATAGATTCTTTTGATCAAATCAGTCAATCCTAAAAGAAATCAACCCTGACTGTTCCCTGGAAGGCCAGATAATGAAACTGAAGCGCAAATACTTTGGCCACCCAATTTGAAGGGAGCACTCCCTCGAGAAGACCCTGATGCTGGGAAAGATTGAAGGTCAAAGAAGACGGGGACGGCAAAGGATGAGATGGTTAGACAGTGTCACAGATGCAACAAACATGAAATTGAGCAAACTTCAGAGGACGGCGGAAGACAGGAAGGCCTGGCGGGATCTGGTCCATGGGGTCGCGAAGAGTCGGACTTGACTGTGCGACTGAACAACAAAAAATGTTGTGTTTCTAAGCTCTTACCTATATTGTTTTAACTACGGCATTTTATGTAAGCCGCCCTGAGCCTGCTTTGGTGGGGAGAGCGGGGTATATAAATCAAATAAAAATAAATAAAATAAAATGGCTCGCAAGAGGTGGAGCCAACTGCAAAATACTGGGGCGCGAGGTCATGCATAATTCTCACGGTGATTCTTCAACATTTCAGGCAGAAGCTCTGTTTAACAAGATACCTTTTAAAATGAACGTATTATTATTATTATTTAAACATACTTCCTTGCATACGCACAGCGCATCTTCTGGCCTTCGGTGAAGATCCTTGTGCTCTGGTGGCAGCTGCTACCAAAGCCACTTCTTAAGAGCCAGTTTGGTGTAGTGGTTAAGTGCGCAGACTCTAATCTGGGAGAACCGGGTTCGATTCCCCACTCCTCCACTTGCACCTGGCTGGATGCAGTGTCACTTATTCATGATGAACAATTAGTACCTCAGAGGACAGACGTCTAAAGACTGCATACAAAAGCCAGAAGCCTTTCCAACCCTATTGTACAGACATACAGAAGCCCGAAGTTACGTCGGACTCTTACTTCAGATGTGCAACAAATGGAACCCAAGGCTTCGCCCCGAAAACCGTATGTTGTCAGGCGTTCAAGGTCCTCAGAAGAGCTTATTTTTGATGTGTAGTGCTTCATGGCCATGACGGGAATGTCAGCCGCTCTGATCCCGTCGCCACTGTCTCGCACCTCAATCTTATCAAAGCCATAATTTTCCTGTGGATGAAAAGAACACAACAAAATTATTATCTACCACTCTTCCCTAAAGGCTGTTCTACACCTTACGTTTTTAAACCAGAAATGTTTTTGCAAAGACATGCAAGAACCTAACCTTTACAACACATCTATGTAGATAATCTCGAGAGGCATGATGTAAACAGCATCTGCCTTCTAGATTTTTATACAAAACATCACTACACTATACCTGAAAAATCAGCAGTGGCTTGGCATTCCTCAGTGGACTCACATCCAAATACTAACCAGGGCCAACACTGCTTCACTTCCAAGATCTGCCAAGATTGGGCTGCCCTGGGCATCCAAGTCAAGGATTCAAAAGGGAATTTGATAAGCATATGGAGCAGAGGTCCATCAGTGGCTATTAGCCACAAGGTATAGATAGGGAAGGAGCTGCGGTGGCTCAAGTGGTTAAGACGCTGAACTGCAGGCTGTGGAAGGTCAGTAGTTCAGCAGTTTGAGACCCGGGTTGCCACATGACGGAGTGAGTTCCCGTCTCTAGTTCCAGCTCCTGCCAACCTAGCAGTCCAAAAGCAAGAAATTGCAAGTAGATAAATGATGGAGTGAGCTCCCGTCTCTAATTCCAGCTCCTGCCAACCTAGCAGTCCGAAAGCAAGAAATTGCAAGTAGATAAATAGGTACCACTTCGGTGGGAAGGTAACAGCGTTCCGTGCGCCTTGGTGTTCAGTCATGCTGGCCGCATGACCACAGAAACGTCTTCGGACAGCGCTGGCTCTTCGGCTTTGAAACGGAGATGAGCACCGCGACCCTAGAGTTGGACTCGACTGGCTTTCGAGCAAGGGAACTTTTACCTTTACCTTATAGATAGGGGCGCTGGGGCAAGTGATACTCTGTCTTCTTGGTGCTTGGGGGGGGTCAACAGTGGGAGGGCTTCTAGTGTCCTGGACCCACTGCTGGACCTCCCGATGGCACCTGGTATTTTCGGCCACTGTGTGATACACAGTGTTGAACTGGATGGGCCACTGGCCTGATCCAACATTGGTGTCTCTTGGACTGCAAGAAGATCAGATCAGTCAATCCTAAAAGAAATCAACCCTAACGGTTCCCTGGAAGGCCAGATAATGAAACTGTAGCTCAAATACTTTGGCCACCAAATGAGAAGGGAGCACTCACTGGAGAAGACCCTGATGCTGGGAAAGATTGAATGTCAAAGAAGACGGGGACGGCAAAGGATGAGATGGTTAACAACAAACATGAAGTTGAGCAAACTTCAGAGGATGGCGGAAGACAGGAGGGCCTGGCGGGATCTGGTCCATGGGGTCGCGAAGAGTCGGACTCGACTGTGCAACTGAACTGCAACAACAAATGTTCTTAAGGCAAGAGACAAACAGAATTAGTTTGCCATTGCTTGCCTCTGCACAGCAACCCTGGGCTTCCTTGGTGGTCTCCCATTCAAATATTAATCATGGTTGACCCTGCTTCGCTTCCAAGATCTGCCAAGATCGGGCTACCACCCTGGGCCATCCGGGTCAAGGTAAGAGACAAACAGAGGTGGTTCGCCATTGCTTGCCTCTGCATAGCGACCCTGGGCATCCTTGGTGGTCTCCCATTCAAATACTGATGAGAGATGACCCTGCTTAGCTTCCAAGATCTGATGAAATCACGCTAGCCTGGGCTATCAACGTAGCAGTCTTCTAACTTCCTGGCCCGAATCCCTCCGGAGGCAGCTGGGATCCACCAGATTACAAGCACATGACAGCGGAGTCATGTGACAGTGGGAGGAGGAGCCGGACTCTCTGAACCTGCCCATGGCTAAAAGGGAGTCCTCTCCCCACGGAGTTACTTCGCTTTGTGGTTTGAATGCTTGTCTTTGCATGCGTGCAAAGGGAGGTACGGGGGCACGACGCCTCTGCTCTCCAGCAGGTTGTTCCAAAAAGCAACAACAAACATAAAATGGTGGCTCTACGGGGGGCTCACACGCCAGGAGGTGAGGCTTTGCAACACACCTGTGAACCTTAAATCACCCCTCCCCTGTTCAGACAGGAGACTGGAATTTTTTATTCAAGGCAAGGAATGTTATTTAGCACATGCACACAACAATCAAAACCCTTCAGGGTTTAAAATGTAATCCTGAAGCTATTTAATGACTGGGATCACAGAACCAGCCCAACGAAGGCATCTTAGTGAGTGACACCGCGCCAGACACCGAACTGCCCTAGTTAAAAATTTTAAATAATCTTGAAAACACACCCAGTGGAAACAATGAACTTCCATTTCGCGTGCTCCACGCCAATTACCTGTTCCGCACAGAGATTCATATGCCCGACATAACTGCAATGAAATGTCATTTTAATGGAGAGCTCTGTAATGTTTATGTGGTTTTGGATCAAGAACATGCTTGTCAACTTTGGACTGGAGGCTCCGCCAAAGGCGTCCACAGAAAATCAGTCACTTTTTGCTGAAGTTCAGCTTTTGCTTAATGACAGGCAGGCTGAATTAACGAAGCTTACAATGAGTCACATGATATCCTTATGGCTCCAAGTGCTATTGCACATATACATTCCGATTTCATTTAGGATGAATGGGTGTTAAGAGATCCCAACAAAACGAGAACTTGTAAATAAAATCTTGGAGGCTGCGGAATTGACTTTACTGATACTTTACTCAGGGTAGAAGAGCATGAGGTGAGGCGTACGCTGAGGGCTGTAAATCCGAGGAAAGCGGCTGGACCTGATGGCATTACGGGATGGGTGTTGAAAGAGTGTGCTGACCAGTTGGCAGGGGTCTTTACTAAGATCTTCAACCGGTCCTTACACCAGTCTATTGTTCCGTCTTGCCAAAGTCCTCAATTATTGTTCCCCTGCCCAAAAAATCCACAATCAGCAGTCTAAAGGATTATAGACCAGTTGCACTCACCCCAGTTGTGATGAAGTGTTTTGAGAAATTAGTACGCAGTCACATCGTCTCATGTCTTCCATCTACACTGGATAGTCACCAGTTTGCATATAAGGCAAACAGATCCACGGAGGATGCCATCACCACTACTTTGCACACTGCTCTGTCACATCTGGAGCAGCCAGGGAGTTATGTGAGGCTGTTGTTTGTGGATTTTAGTTCTGCCTTTAATACCATCCTCCCAGATAGATTAGTGTCCAAGTTGGAGGGCCTTGGACTCTCCAGCTCCA